TTTTGCAAATCATTTAAGATGCCCGCAAGATTAAAATTAGCCTTTCTAGCTTTTAAATTACACATATAAAGTCGTGTCAAAAAATCTTTGGTGCACACTTGCTTCTTGATAAACACGTTATTTTTTAAATGTCAGAATAAAGTAGTGGCGCACGCAACACTGACCTACAATTAGCACCCGCTAGCTTAATACCTTTTGATTGAAAGCATAAAAATAATTAGTCAATCTGCATAATTGCTAATTAGATACTAATGCATATGTACTCGCAATTAACAACAGCTGCACGGGAAGGTAGAATAAATTCGCTTCTGAATGCCAAAGGAAATATAAGGCACATACTCGGCTCGCTAACACAACCGCTGCTGCTTGTACATTAACTCCCAGTCGCTTTCTTAGAAATGCTTAAAAGTTTTTTTTTTCTTTTTTTCTTCAAATCCTTGAATTGTAGAGCTTAAAAGTATCCCGTAATTATCATCTCAGAGGGTTGCTTTTGTTAAAATGTTTTTTTTGTGGCGAAGGAAATCAGCTTTCTGAAGCCTACACACGCGGAGCGGGGATGTCGGGATCTCCCGCCGAGTCCAAATGGAGCCCACACCGATTCATATTTCCATGTGTTCTTAAGTTGTTGCCAGGAATTGACGTTGACAGTCCTGTCAACAGCATTCAACAACCGAAGCTTGTGTTTTTTTTATTTTTTTTGCATAAGGTAACAAACAACTTTAATGCTGGAGCAGGGGTAAACACCGAAGAAAGGAAATAAAGATAAACACTCGCAACTTCGGAGATGAATTCAATCTGCACAACAACCTCAAACCCCTGTTCCCCTGTGGTTGGTACAGATCATCAGAAGTTGACAAATTAATCCTCACAGCCAGTTTTTACAGAAGACTGCTTCTTGAACTCGCCGAGCATGCAGGCATAGAGAGATTTGTACGTGGCACACAATGGCTCCGCATACTAGAAACCAGCGTTGCATGGCATCTGAGCGCAGGTGACCCACAGAGGCGTCTGTTGTCACCGCTTTTGTTAACTGCGATTCAGAAAGAGTATTGTGTGTCATTCTGGATTCAGGTAGATGCGAAGCTCAAGTTGTCACATAATCGTTTAAATATGCCGCCACTTCAGATTGGAATTTTTTATTACGTAATACGTTGTATGTTGGTTTTTGTATTGCATGCAACTGTTGTTTATTTGTATATGCAAACCTGTCTGTCTATCTTGGCCAGGAGACTCCTGTACAATATATTTTAATCTCAGTGAGACTTTTTCCTGGTTAAATAAAGGTAGTAATAATCCGTAACCTTGAATATGGCCTTATATATTATTACAGGAATACTTGGTTCATCGCAGCATTCCACGGTCATATTTTTCTATAATGACTCTAAACTGTATACCTGACCTTCTGATTAATAACATACAATACCAATAACAATACCATTCAAAAGTTTGAGGTCGGTAGGATTTTCAAATGTTTATGAAAGATGTCTCGTATGCTCATCAAGGCTGCACTATACTTGTGCAACAATACAATAAAAACGGTAATATCGTGAAATGTTTACAATTTAAAATAGCTGTTTTCTATTCTAATATATGCAAAGCTGAATTTTCAGAAGGCTCCAGTGTCACATGATCCTTAAGAAATCATTCTAATATGTTGATTTGATACTCAAGAAAGATTTTTATATTATTCTCAGTGTTGAAATTAATTGTGCTTCTTAATATATTTGTAGAAACTGTGATTCATTACGATTATTTGATGAATAGAAAGTACTGAATTGTTTTGCTGTCACTTTGATCGAACTGAATGCACCTTTCTTAATAAAAGTAGTTTTTTCTTTCAAAAGCATTTTTAAAAAATCGTACCAACCCCCGAACGGTAGTGCATAAGCACTTAATATTATATTTATACTAGTGCTGTCAAACGATTACTCGTGATTAATCACATCCACAATAAAAGTTTGTTTACATAATATACTTTGTAGTTTACTGTGTATATTTATTATGTGTGTGTATATATATATATATATATATATACAAACACATGCATGTATATATTGCACCTTTCTTAATAAAAGTAGTTTTTTCTTTCAAAAGCATTTTTAAAAAAAAAATCGTACCCCCGAACGGTAGTGCATAAGCACTTAATATTATATTTATACTAGTGCTGTCAAACGATTACTCGTGATTAATCACATCCAAAATAAAAGTTTGTTTACATAATATACTTTGTAGTTTACTGTGTATATTTATTATGTGTATATATATATATATATATATATATATATACAAACACATGCATGTATATATTTAAGAAAAATGTTATGTTTAAATATTAATATAAAATAAAAAATTAAATATAAATATGTATACATGTAAATGTAAATATGTACACATGTATACATGTAAATATTTTCAAAATATATACAGTATGTGTGTGTATTTATATACATAATAAACACAGTACACATACATATATCATGTAAACAAAAACGTTTTATTTTGAATGCGATTAATCACGATTAATAATTTGACAGCACTAATTTATACATTAATGTGTATATATACTTGAATCTCATCTGTAATACACACACAAGCAAACACAAACTTAAAAGAGTGTTCAGTTCATAAGTTGAGTGAAGTCAACTTTTCTGTTGCAGTCTATGCAGCAGGAGTTTAGATGAACCTTTTGATATGCTTAATTAATGAAACCGGTGTGTGTATGAACATCTCCTTAGACTTTATCAATGCACACCAATCCATACGGAATAAGCTCAATTTGATTTGTTCATCTCATCTCTTACTGACCTCTAATTGATGTTGCCATCTGAGCCTGGTGATGCTCCCAATATAGCCCCTGTGTGTGTCCAATATTTGATTATGCGCCGGTCTCCATGGCACCACGGCCATTTGTGTGCTAATTAATTACCAGGCTTACTAGCTTGTAGATAATTGGTGTGTACATCACCATCAATTCCATTAAAAAGAGCAATTATCACCTACCTTATGCAAATGATTGTTTCCGAGCTCCCCCATCTCTCATCAAATTAAAAGGAGACACTTGAGTCGTGCCGCTCTGCACTAGATCACACTTTCAGTATCATAATAATAGCAAGACAATATGTGGAGTCTCCCCGATACATATGAAACGTTTATAATGAATCTTTAGAGACTAATAAACGAAAAATCTGAAAATATTCTGGTGAAAAAAAAAAAAAAAAGAAGTTAAAATGCTCAAATGAATCGTATGGCGCAAGCGTGCACATGCTAACTATCTCTGACCTTGGGCGACAGAGGTGCTTGAGCAGATCTATGGCTCTCTGTGATGGGAAAAGTAGGTCATGGAGTGCTATCGCTGGAAATATAAAAGCTGAACATCTTTGCCGCATAAGACCCCAACAGGGAAATCAACGCTAAATAAATCAAGTACGTGCTGAGCCCAATAGAGCTACTCTCTCTCATTCCAGAGAGACGTGACTGACCATTAGCGTATAAATACACATGCTTCTATCATGGCTCTTTTCACACAGAAAGTGACCTCAAACCCTATGGTGACATATTAAGGACAATGACATATAAATCAAATGTCTTCTTTTGACCGACCTTTCTTAATTTTACTCAAGGTGAGAATGAAGGTTCTGCTGGTTCATAGTGATTAAATGTGCAACACTACAAAGATCATTTTCCCTTCAATTCATTTTTTTTTCTTCACACATGCACATACTACTGCTTTTATTTAGTTTTTTTCTGTAATTGTCCTTTGTTTTTCATTGAGCTGGTTTAATGATTTTTGGGGCGTTTGGGTGAATCTCACAAAACTTGTCTATAACATATCCAGGCCATATTTCACCACAAAATCAAAAGAAAGAAACAAGAAAAACACATAAGAAACAACACTTTTTTTTCCATTATTTTATTGTTAATCCTGCTTACCATAGTGCAAAAAACATAATTCTCATTATTGTAATGAGTAAAAAAATATTTCAATTGTATAGTATGTTATATATATATTTTTTTATTTTATTTATTGAATTTAAATATTTCTAATTATTTTAAACAATTGTATTATAATATTCAATCAATATTGTACTGTATTAGAATGTGAGAATTTCATGTAATTGACAGGAAAATAAATAAATAAATAAATAAATAAATTCAAAATGGTCCTAAAATAAGCTTCATTTTCTTTAAGCAAAATATTTAGCATATTTTCCTTTTCATTTTGGGATGACATATAACCTGGGCATCCAAGATTCACCCATTTTTACACTGTTTAAAAAAAAATTGAAATAAATCAATCAACGATGATTGGAATATATATTTTTACAGTGTACCGTCTATAAAGCAGTTGCTATTACTGGTAGAAACGTACTAACCAGACTCAGTCCTAACCAGACAAAAGAAGTTGCAAGACATTTTGTCAGTTGCTTGCTTTCTTTTCACTCCATCTAAAGCGAATCTCACTGACTGACATAAATATACATTAAACACCAAATATATTCTGAATAACAGGCCTTCTGTCATTATGCACAGCATCAAGAGTTCAGTGTGAACAACAAAAAAAAGACTTGTTGCTGGAAATGTCCCGCAGTGGCTGGTTATTATGAGGTGTAAAGCAAAAACACAGTAAAAGAAACATTGCTGACAGGGCTTATTTTCAGCATTACACACATCTTCTGAATCTCTTAATCTACTGCATTTCTGCACCAGTACGCATAATTATGCAATTTTGCCTCTACCCATCTTTTATTTATTACAACTGCATTCACTTGTGCAAAGTTCATTCTGTGTATCGTGAGAGCACTGTATTTACATTGCTGTTATTGCAGAACATTAAATTGTTGTACACATTGAGTGGGAAGGCGCATAATGAAAGTTATCTTCTGTGATATTCATCTTGCTCTCTGGCTGAGCTCTTCCTCCTCTGTTAGGTTCAGAGAAGAGTGGAGACAAAGAAAGAAGGAGAGTAACTAGAGCTGCACTGCAATCACGAGCAGACTCACCAGAGTTGGGGTCCGAGTTGCCGTCCGCTTCGGTCCTCTTGTCCGGAGAGGCCTGCTCGTAGAACTCATCCTGCGCCTGCACCAGAGGAAGAGGGTGTGAGAGGAGCGGCCCACTGCCCACAGGCTCATGGTCCCCCAGCCCACTGTCACTGCAGCTTTCCTGAGACCCGTCCGGCAGGTGAAACGTGACGCGCCGCTGCGACTATAAAACCAGAGAGCAGAGTGACAGAGCCACACGTTAACGCTTGTCTCCTTGTTATCCAATCAACCGGCGACTTTCAGTCAATATTGTGGATTATACTGAATTAGAAATTTGAGAGCTGGGGGATTTGTTGACTTTTATACTTTTATAGAAATTAATTTATTGAACAAAAAGCATGTTTTGAATTTGATTTGATCAAAATTGTCCCTCGGCACAGCAAACACAAGTCACGTTTCACGTTACAAAGCTCTCGCCACTAAAGAACATGTGACATCATGTGCACAGTGGATATTGCAGAACGCATTAATGATATGATGTGTTAATAAGCGCTCAAAATGACAGTGTTATGACATGCCAGCATGTAAGGTGAGACGATAGATAGATAGATAGATAGATAGATAGATACAAAGCTCTCCTAAAGAACATGTGACATCATGTGCACAGTGGATATTGCAGAACGCATTAATGATATGATGTGTTAATAAGCGCTCAAAATGACAGTGTTATGACATGCCAGCATGTAAGGTGAGACGATAGATAGATAGATAGATAGATAGATAGATAGATTCCAAATCAGAAAGAGCTTTATTGCCAGGTATGTTTACACATACGAGGAATTTGTTTTGGTG